ATGTGGGGCTTCGATTGGTGATGTCTTTGTCTTTTTGGACTAGACATAGTCTTTCTTTCACATCGCATCAAGCATGTGGCTACTGAAATCCAAATGACAGAAGACTAAAAATGATCAATTCTCGACATGCTCGCTGGCCAAGGTGGCTGAAAGGTCAGTTCCTCAAGCCTTAAAAGAATGTCATATTCAAGGTGTGTGTGCGTGTAAAGCGGGGGCAACAGCGATTGCCCTTGTCAAATCCTTTTGGTTGACGTGAAAGTAACCAACTTCATGAGGTATTTGCGGTGGCCTTTAGTCACTGACGCTTGTGATTCTTGGTGCAGGCTGTCATTTGTGTGTTCGTGCGCAATTTCTCACATGGCTGGTTGGCCCTGGCGTGGGCCCAAGACAACAGAACAAGTCCTTGTTACTTTAGAGGTGCACCATGGATGTGTGACTTTTTTGTCACTTGGGCTTCAATACTCTGTTCAAAAACTAGCTAATGGAAGTTCACCTACAATCATGATAAAACAAACAAAAAGTGGTGGAATTTGAAAGCAGGCAGCCCCATGAGATAGACGAAATAATCAATATACAGTCCGCTCCTCCAAAGGTGGCTTGATGCTACCTCAGTCTGGCCCTCAGTCAGTCAGGTCATGGCAATGGTGACAAAGAGAATGTGGACCACATGTTCCAAGTTGTCCTGCGGTGTGGTTCATTGCCCAGGTTGAAATTTTCGAGACTGGAGCATCTCCTTTTTGCGCGCGCTCCTGAGCTCAATGTGAAGCAGCTGAATTTTGTCTTAAACTTTTGTTTCTTCCGAATAATATTGCCGGGCAATTATGTTTGTTCACATCCTTCGCTTGGCTGTGCATTGTGTGCCTGGAGGTGTCTGCATGGCAGCTACCAATGGCGCATGTGCTGCAAACTCAGTACATTCAGACAGGACCCTGCTGAAACTTTAGCCTTTCGCCATTGTGATTGTGATTGTTGTTGTTTTTGAAGGTGCATTCACGTGATGTCACTTGAAAAGCACAAACACGCATTTGTCGTTTAGTGTCATGTGGCACTGCTGCAACTGGTTAGATTTGTTATTTGTTTCTGTTGAACTTGATGTGTGTGCTGGGCTTGGCATATTATAATGATGTTCTGGATGTGTCATTTGTGACATCATGTATGCCGGATTCGTCATATGTCCTGGACGTGTCATTTGTGACGCCATGTGTGCTGGACTTGTCATATGTCCTGGATGTGTCATTTGTGACGCCATGTATGCTGGATTTGTCATATGTCCCGGATGTGTCATTTGTGACGCCATGTGTGCTGGACTTGTCATGTGCCCTGGTTGTGTCATTTGTGATGTCATGTGTGCTGGACTTGTCATATGTCCTGGATTTGTGATGTCATGTGTGCTGGACTTGTGATTTGTCGCGGATGTGTCATTTGCGATGTCATGTGTGCTGGATTTGTCATTTGTCCTGGATGTGTCATTTGTGATGTCATGTGTGCTGGGCTTGTCATTTGTCCTGGATGTGTCATTTGTGATGTCATGTGTGCTGGACTTGTCATTTGTCCTGGATGTGCCATTTGTGACTTGTCATTGATCCATGTGATGTGTCCTAATCGGTGATTTGTAATCAACCGGCACTGAGTTTGTAACAAATCGGTCATGTGTAATCAATCGGTCATTTTCTTTCTCTCTCTCTTTTGTTTGTTTCTCGTTTTCCTTTTTTTTCTTCTTTTTTTCTCTTTTTTTCTCTTTTTTCTTCTCTCTTTTTTTCTCTTTTTTTCTCTTTTTTCCTCTTTTTTCCTCTTTTTTTCTCTTTTTTTCTCCTTCTCTGTGCTCTTGTAGGCTACTTTCAATTAGGGGGGCATTGTTTTTTTTCTCTTTTTTTCTCTTTTTTTCTCTTTTTTTCTCTTTTTTCCTCTTTTTTTCTCTTTTTTCCTCTTTGTTCCTCTTTTTTCTCTTGTGTGCTCGCGGAAGTATTGGTGTCTCTGTGGGGTCTCAACATGGAACACATGTGCCAGAACACAGGTCGGGACCAGTGTCACGTTGTCAATGTTCCACCTCGGGCCCAAATAGTTGTGAAAAGTAGTTGTTTTCAGTTTAGGTGCCTGGATCCTGTCTACGGGTCTGAAGCAATGGGGCGTGATCACAAGCGTGCTCGTACTCAGCCTCGGGAGCAAATGATGTTGAACCCCATGATGATGAACCCTGCGATGATGATGAACCCTATGTTGGCTGGCATGGGCAGCATGATGCAGCCACCACCCCAGCGTGGACAGGCTCAGGCTGAGGAGTCGTCATCTTCGGATGAAGGCCAAGGTCAGAGTGCACCAGCGTCCTCAGCAGCTCCAACCATTCCCAAGACAGGTGGAGAAGCTGTGGTCCCACCTGTGACCTTGTTGATGGCATTGCCTGTCAGCTGTGAGAAGACTTGGGGTCGCTCTGTGAGCATGCTGAGGCAGGTTCCCCGGAACCGATTGGCTATGTGCCTGAACTCGATTTGCTTAGACTTAGACCCAACTGCAACGTCAAACCTGAGCATTGTGGGTCTCCTTGGTCTTTTGTGGCTGTGGTGCCGGCTTCGCCCTAACCTGAAAGTGTGTGACCTTGGCCACTTGGACCTTCATGGTGTGTCAAACATGGTTTTCGTGGCCACTGCAATGTTTACACTGATTTCTTTAAGTTTCTGTAACCTGCTCGCCAAGGTTGTGAGACATACCAGGAGCTTGCTGAGAAGTTCATGACTGCGCATTTGCGTGTCAGGAAGTCAATGACTGATGCACGATTTCAGGATGAGATCATGTCCCGGTTGCCACTTGACATGGGTGACTCGGATGTGTTGATGATTGCTGGTGCCTTTGGCTGGTCTTCCGAGTTCATGGCCAAAGCAACCAGCAAACGAAGTCTCGCCAAAGCGGCTGTGAAGTCCAGTGGGCACATCGGGAACTTGTTGGCCAAAGCTGCCCCACCTCCTCCAAAGGCCTTGGCTACTACCATGATTCCTGCTGCTGTGTTTGCCACGTCGCCCAAAGCCGTGTCGCCTCCAAAGGCGCCTCCGCCAGCTGTGCCAGCTGCTGCCTCGACCCCTCCGCCCCGGGCATCAGTGGTCTACCCGAAGGCCACATCCAGCCCGCCAAAGGCATCCCCTCCACGTCTCAGCTTGGGTCAGGCAATGGATGCAGCAGCTGAATCTGCCAGTGGTCCTGAGTCCAACGAGGTTGCAGGTGGATCAGCTGTTGAAGGTGAATCAGGTGAGGGTGGAGCAGCTGCTGAGCCACCAGCTGCTGGGGTTGTGGCTGGCCCAGTATGTGCCATTTGTCATGAAGTGATGTTGCAGTCGGAGGATGGAGAGCCCACGCCCCCATACCTTTCATGCCCGTTGCCCCAATGAGTGGCGTGAAGTGACTGGGGTTCCAAATCACCATTGCCCATACCGTTGCCATGAGTCTAACCAGAATGTGGAGCAGGCCGGCGTGACCACTGCGGCTGAGAATGGTGTCTCTGATGAAGCTGGTGATTCTGCTGGTGATGTGGCTGAGGAGCCGGTTGCTTTCATGTGAGACGTCTGAAGGGTGAGGGTCATTTGTTTGCATCGCTGTCGTGCTTCAAGCTAGGCTGTCACAAGGGTCATGTTGTCAGTCAAACAGACACTGACCGATGCTAAGACAACTGACACAACTGACAAATTTTTGGTTCCTTTCAAATTGAAACTGGCGAGGTGCTAGGTGTGATTAGATCTTTGGGAGAGAGACGCCACAGGCATTGCATGCGAGGCGGGTTCTTAGGAATTGCGAGTGTTCATTTGACACTGCAGTGTGAACTGCCTGCGTTGCCTGGCCACGAAGACAAAGCTGGGTTTGATCCGTTGGGTTGCGGCCACCCAGGCAAGTGCACAAAAAAAAGTGCCCTCTTTGCCCGAGGAATGTCATGTACTGGTTCCATGTGTACAGTGGGGTGTTGTCATGTGTTGTCATCCTAGAGTCGTTTGTGACTGTGCATCAGTGTGCATATTCAGCATGTCAAGTAGTGGTTCCAGGTTGTGACTGTTGAGGGTGGAGCTTTTCTGAACAACAGCTGACAAAAGACGCAACGACTGATTAGAGAGTCAGAGGCAAACCTTGTTTTTGTTGCAGCCAGCTAAAATGCAAGCTGTACTTTCCTGTGTCATATTATAATTTCCTGATTTCTCTCGTTTTGACTCACATTCAGTGGGGTTCGTCATTAATGGTGCATGATCTCTTGACAGTGGCCGACACTGTCAGTGTGGTCTTCAACGAGGGGCAACTTGCTTTGTCCCCGGTTGGGTTTTGGAGGAGGGGCGATGATGGCGACGGCCCAATCTATTGGGATCTGATGTATGTGTATGACCAGCTCGCGAGAACCTCAGTGGCAACAGTCGTCTCCAGCCACAAGTTCATGCAACAGGTCGCCGCTGTTGTGCAGTCTTCAGGGGTTTCTGCTGATGAGCTTCACCTTCGTGGCAAAAGCAGCAGGCTCTGTCTGTTAGAAGAACCAAACAACTGCTCAAAAAGAACTGTTGTTTCAGCATTTGTCTTTCTGGCATCCCTGGGAGGCCAGGAGCTTTGAACGCAAACTGTGCGACCAGCCGGGTTCTTTTGCTTTACATGGCTTCGCTGGTTGAACATTCGAGGATCCCAGAGAAAGCAAACTTTGCCATTGGCCATTTCAATTCCATTTGTGAAAAAGCTGTCAGCCATGCGCACACATTGGGAGAAGGCTATGTCATTGATGCAATTTGAGCTGTAATTGGGCAGGTAAGCTTTGGGAAACGGAATGAGATGTAAAGTTTCTGATTTTTAATATCCGAAAACACCCATTCTGGTGGCTTCAGTCAAATTTTCCGTCAGTGTGACCAATCGTGGCACCATGATTGACCAAGGTATCCGACGTTCAGTTGGAGGTGAACTCGGCTGGATGTGTTGCGAATTTTTCGGCACTCCTGCAAAGTGAGCACAAGGCTGTGCAACAGGCTTGGCAGCTCCAGTGGCAATCAATGAAGGCTGACCCTCAGTGGGGGTTGACTGCGAGCTGGGATGCCCCACACTTGCCATTGAGGGACATCATGCTGTTCGTTCTACAAGTCAACAAGGCAAGGAAGAAGCAGGAGAAAAGACCTTGGAAAGACAGATCCAGAGCCATCGTCACCAATTTGCTACATGCTTTTGTTGGCTTTCTCACTGATGTTCTCCACCAAAGCCTCTCTCCGAGTAGTTCGCTGAACGCGCCCTCGCGAAATGTGAGGAGGTCAGCAGATTCCGACACTCAGAAGGTCAACTTAGAGACGGTGTGGAACCTCTGCCAGGAAGCCACCCGCAAAGGTATTTCTCTGGCGAAACTTGCGGAAGTTCGTGAAGATGATGCGCATGGTGGAGTGAAGCCAACATCAACAGGGTACTGGTCAAAAAAAATCCTTGCAATGTACCAGGACAGAGCGAGAACAGCTTTCTTGGCCTGCAGACACTTCAACATTGTCATGGATGGCGCGTCCCATGGTCCAGAGACTTTGGTCAGCTACAGCTACTCCACTGACATTGATGGGGCAGTGGCCATGGCTGTCCAACAGCTGTCACCAGGCAAGTTGATGATGCTTAGCTTCAGTTTGTGTTTGTTCCAATTTCACTAACACTTGTTTGCACCTGATAGGTCTTTGCTGGCAACGATACATGTAGCCAACAAATCAGTGTCACTCTCAGGAGACCTGGGCTAATCGACTTTCTCCCGGACATTGAGTTGCGGGCTATCAAAAGAGATGTGTCCAGAGTTGCTTCGTACAAGCAGCTCCAGGCTCTCTCACACCAGATCCATTTGCTCACAAAGGGGAAGTTTAGCCTAGAAAGTTTCTTTGCCACACCTGAGATGTCATTAGAACCACTGTCTCCTGGCGATCACCGAACAGCTGTAAAGGAGAATGGGCAAAATAAAGCTGCTTGAACTTGATTCAGTGTATGTGACTCATTCATCTTTGCTCAGAGCCGATTTAAATTGATTTTTGTTGATGATGTGGCACTTTTTTTGGCAACGCTGCGGTGTGCACATTGGCCAAGGTTCTCATCTATCGAGCTGGCACACAACAGGCGCAAGAAGTTGACTTCCGCGGTGTTGATGGTGTACCCGTCATGGTCCTGCAACTGGACCAAGGCCCCAGTTGCGTGGCTATGTGCGCCTGGATGCAGGAGAATGGTGTGCTTTGCCTCCCGGTCTGGGACAAGATTCACAGATGCCAGAGAGATTTGAAGGGAAGTGGACCGGAGTTTCTGCAGTTTGCCCAATTGGCAACGATGTATCTTTGGAGCGCAAACTACAAACCCTTCAACAGCCAAGGGTTTTTCCAGGATAAGTTGGAGCTTCTGCAGAGCTTTCTTTCTATCGAGTCCAAGGCAAGGTCAGTGGTGCAGCTTTTGTTTTTTAAAGAATGAGATGAAATAAGGCTGCTACAAATGCTGCTGCCCCTCTGAGGAGTCACCCATCTTCCAGAAATACCTGCCCCGCATTGCTTGCGACTTTGGCATTCATGTGTCTGAAGTGGATACGATTTGGGATGAGCTATCTCGTATGACTTCATGGACTCAAAAGGGAAGCCTTCCCAAGATGTCTCGGTGGTTTAGCTGGCACCAAGTCGCTTCTGAGTACCTTCGAGAATTTTGGGCGTCGCGAATGCTTTTTGAGTGGAGGTTTTGCCATGAAATGTTGCCTGACCCTGACTTTAACGGCCACACCACGAACTTCAGAGAATGGAGATCCAGCGAGCAGTTCAATGGACTCAAGCTTGCCTATCAATGCTGCTCAGCATCAGTCTATGAGTCCGCCTGGGTGATATTCACCGTCAGCCGTGCCTGCTGGACTTGGCACACTCAGAATGTCGAGACAGTCAAAAGCACCTGGGACAATATCGCCTATGACTTGAGAATGAGTGAGCAATGGTGCTGTGACCCTCACTTGCTGGAGATTGCTTCTTTTATTGCGGCAAACAATGTGGCGTCGTGGAGGTGGCTTGAAGAGATGATGCAGAACAGTGACGGCTGGGCTTCAAAAGTCTTCAACTACACAGTCAGCATTCTAGGAAACCGTGTGGCCACACTATCTCGTCACTCGTGTCCACCTTTCTGCTATGCTGGAATCATGGATGCGGCAACTCAACAACAAACATTGCAGCAAATGAAACGCGACTTTCACCTGCTCTTGTCTTTGGAAGTGTCTACGGCGCCAGCTGCTGACCAGCTTGCCAGTGACTTGCGGTTGTTGTTCAACCCCCTAGTGAGGTTGGCACTTTCATTGTTTGAGCTCAACAACTGGTGTGTCTTTGGTCCAACTGGCATCAGACACCAGGGGTGGTTTATCATGGAAGCAATCTTCCGCAGATTTCCTGATTCCAAGGTGGTTGAAGATTGCCACCAACGCATCAGAAACGATGCTGCTGGAAATGCCAATTCAAGGCAGTCTGCGTCGCATATTATGGAGCTTGTGCAGCAGGCAATGGTCCTTGAGGGGCGGGAGATCAACCATGTGGCTAGCTTGCAGAAAGAGTGGTTCCTGGAGAAGTGGTCATCAGCGAAGACGGATGGTGTCCAATTCAGGAACTTCAGAGGGCACGCAATGAGGCTTGACAAGGTGCCTCTTGAGCAGCTGTTTGTTGTCTTCGAGTTACTAGTTTCATGTCGAAACATGTTTTCATGTTGGACAAAAGACATGGAAACCCTAGACCCTCTAGCTGGCCTGCTGAGATCTGACTCTGTGTGATTCAAATTTTCCTGGCAAATTAGGTTTTCAGCTCCATCATGGGGAACAAATTGTGGCCAACAATCAGCGAAGATACGCTGCGACGGTCAGCGGCTGGATGGAGCTTTGTGCGGCAGGTCCAGGACCTTGGATGCCGCATAGCAGATGGACCCATCAGCGGCATCCTCCAACCAAAGCAAGTCCTACAGCATGTTCACAGTGAAGAGTTCGTCATTGTAGTCAAGTCGTGCTACTGGGGATTTCTTTCTTGGCCGCTGGTTCTGGTCGAGCATGAAAGTCATGTTACCCGTCTGCAGGTGTCGTGCGATGCTGGTGCGAAAGCTCGATGGCATCACTTGTCAAACCACGATGATTGGGACTCTTGGCTTGCCCTCACTGCTGAGGTGGTTTGGTCAGAGTCAGTCTTAGATGAAGGCGTGAGTCTGCGTGTCATTTGTGCCGGTGAGCCACTCATTCTGGCAGCTCTGAAAACTCCTTGGATTTTGAGTTTCGGCGACCTTGTCACCATTGCCACCTTCATGAAAGTCCACAAGCCGAGGAGCATGGACAGATTGGAACTGTTGCGCTTGTTGGCAACATCTTTCGGGGAAGATTTCGCCGAGCAGGTATTGGAGCTGGATCAGGAGTACTCTAAGGGCAAACAGACTGATGCTGACAACTTGGATTTTGCCGAGCAGCTACTTGAAGGCCTAGAAGGCCAAGTTGAAAAAAACGATTTTAGACCCTCAGCTTGGCTAGCATTTTTAATTTTGCCGGGCACTGATGCTCGCAACTCTGAATTTTGTTAATTTGTTATGTTTTTTGAACCAAGGGCTAACACTAGCCAAGGAGAGCTGAAAGAAAGAGTGCAGAAACACAACGACTTGGCCAAGAAGAAGGCATGGTCTGATGGGCTGCTGCAAAGGGTGGAAGAGAAAAAGGAGAAGAAGGCTAAGGCCAAGTCCAAGTCAAAGAACCCATCTAAGAAAGCAAAGGCTAAACCAAAAGCGGCTGCAAAGAAGAAGGCGGCCAATACAAGAAAGCGCAAGGCTCCAACTCCTGATGGCACAGCGGCAGATATTCATGAAGACCAACCTGAGGCTGAGGAACATGTCCTGGCACCAGCTGATGAACATCCCACTGATGCTTTGGGGGAAGGAGATCGTCAGGTACAGTCTTTGTTTGGCGGCGGCTTTGAACCTTGTGATGACACCACACCTCCGAACCAGGGAACGATTGAGGAGGACAAAACTTTGCCCATGGAAGTGGATCAGGCGGAGGAACAGCCACTTGCTGATGATGGTGAAGATGGTGAAGACAAAGCAGAGTTGCTTCACATGAAAAAAGAGGTGCTTCAAGAACAAGAAGTGGTTGCAACGGAGCAAGGTCCATCATCGTCGTCGTCTGTTACCAGGAAAAAGGTTTACAAATCCCCATCCGAAGTTCTTTCCCTCCTGGAACCTCCTGGGTTCAAACTGACCATGAGCAAGAATGAGTGGCGTTGGACACTGGTCTGCTGTTAGTACGTTATTAACTCCTTCTTCTTTTCTTGTCGCTGGCTACTTTTCCTGCGTGCACGCAGCCAAGGAAAGTGGAATGCAAGAAGGGCCACAGGCGTGCTTTTGACCCACACTTTTCAAAAAAAACCTTTTCCAAGCAGTTTCTGAACATTGAATGGGGCTACGCGCTGAAGATTGTACATGCACACGCATGGCAAAAGTGGCACCTTGTCAGGGATGATCCTGCATATAAGCTGCAGGCTGGGCAAGAGGAACAAGAGCCAGGAATTATCCCTCAAGAGCTCCTGGATTCTTTGCAAAGCACCATCGATGACCTACCTTCTGCCAAGGCCTACGGCAAGAGACAGGGCAGTGAGTCGGAGTGAGCTGTCTGCTCCACATTTGTCAAAACATACGGGCGCAGTGTCTTTAGTTTGGCAGTGTCGTTTGTCATGCGGTGCCGTCACAACTTTCAACTTTTGCTTTCTTGCTTGTGTGTGTGTTGTCATTGTGGCTACCACAGAGGATGCTGTCATCCCCGACTGACAACAGAGTAGGAACATGATCAAGCAAGTCGAATCTAGAACCTACAGTAAACCATCGAATCTAATAGATATAGAGCGTGGGCACAACTGGCTTTCAGCCCACCGCAAGCAGCGTATCATTTTTTGACCCTTGGTTTGACTGACTGTGACAGCTTCGTTACTACGGGTGCGCCATGGGGAAATGGTCGTGCCCTTCCATGCCAATGTGGCAATGGCCTCTCATGCTTGGAGCAATGATGATGCCTGGTTTGGAGCAGGCTCAGCACGCAGTGAAAGTAAAGAAGACCCAGGGAAAAAAGAAACAAACATGTCACCATGGCGATTTGTCTCAGCAATCCCAGGCTGAGATGTCTGAAGGAGGCATGTTTCGCATTCCTTTCACAGCAACCAGAGTTCAAGAGACACTGGCTGAGCACCAGCAGCGCGTTGACCAGGAAGATCTGGAGTTGGAGCTAACCTTTTGGTCATGTACCCACTTCAAGCTCCTGGACACTGTAGTTGTGAGCCCCTTTTTGAAGTGCAAGTCGTCGGCAGCAGAGTCCTTGCAGTCTTTGGGGCAGCTCGTTGATCAGTTTCTCACTGGAGATGTGGAATTTGGTGGCTTTGCGGTCATGTTGTGGCCAGTGCTCATCGAAATGGCCTACCCGTTCATGAAGGGCATGTGTTTAAAGGAGATGCTCATGTCCCTGGTGGACTCTTGGGTTTGCAGTTTACGTGTTCGTTCATTTTGAATTACCAGCTTTTTTTTTCAGCTGTTTGTTGCTTTGCTGTTTTATATGAATGATTTGTTTTGCGACAATGCATGTCTTGTCATGTCCCTTCTATTCATCCAAACTTCGTCGGAGGAAAGAACTTTAGCACACCGGCAATGCAATGATGGCCGCTGCAACTTTGACTTCGTAGAGTACTTCTGCGGCAAAGGTGAGCTGACTCGACATCTTCTGAAGAAGGGCTTTTGGGGTGCCGCTGTGGACTTGATCAACGATGCTGAAGCCCAGGATTGCTTGGAGCCCTGTGGTTTGAGATTATTTCTCAACCTCCTTGGTGCAGCAAAGGACCATGCACTGATATGGCTAGGAACGCAATGTAGTAGTTTCGTAGTTCTGTGCTTGGCCCAGTCACAACGCTACATGGAGAACTTTTTCCGAGGAGACATGCGAAGGGAGTTTGTCCGGATTGGTAACGCATTACAGGAATTCTCTAGCCTTGTGATGTTTCTAAGCTTCGTGTTGAATTGTGAAACCATTCTGGAGCAACCTCTGAACAGTTGCATGCCACAAGCTGGAAGCTTTCCTCATGTACTGTCTTTTGTATCAGCCAGAAAGCATGTCACGTATGCTGGTGCTTTTGGCGCCAGTTCTGTGAAGCCGCTACAGTTATGGCATGCTGGCGTGGGCAATTTTACTGACCTTGAACGGCCGAAACCCGATTGGCTAACAGAGTCTTTGGCGACTCATGATGATCAAGGAAGGTTCACAGGTCGTAGAGATGCACTAGAAATTTCAGGCCAATACACTCCAGCTTTTGCAATGGCCGTGGCAGATATCTACTCTGCTCAATTTCATCCCTGATACAAGTCGGGATGTCGACCCCAAATTTGTAATTAACGGTGACAGTCAGCGTAGTCTGTGTCCATGCAGTCGGTGACAAAAATTATCGTGCCAAAGACCTCTGTATACTTGCCCATGACTTACAGGTGACGCAAATGACACACATGACACAAATGACACTATTGACTCTCGACTCTCGACGATTTCAGCTTTAGGTTTCTGTGCATCCCGGTTGCTGGGGAATGCAGAAATCCTGAGTGCTGAACTTAGCCAGTCCCTCTTCGATTGCAAGTGACAGCTTCCCCACAAGCAAGTGACACAAGTGAACAGAATCTCAATATCTCTATTGTTTGGTTGTATGGTGTGCAGCAACATGACGCATGACACAAGTGACCGTCATTCATCTTCAAGACTTTGACCAAGCATTCAAAATCATTCCACATTTTCAGTTTTGTGACCTAGGTCTGCCCTACCTGAGAAGTTGTTCACCGTGCTTTGCAACGTGCAAAAAGAATGTTGCGACCGTGCTTCCTGTGAAGCACATCAACCGTCTTAAGCCATGTATGAAAGGCCATGTGCCCGTGCATGCTCTTTCTAGGTTGCTTTGTTTTGTGCCTCATTTTGACCTATTTCTGGTAGGGACTGTTAGAAGATGAAATCAAAATAAAACAACATGAAAAAATATGACTTTTGGGGAGCCCCAAACACTGCTGAACTAATACCTGCGGATTCGATCACCCTTTTCATCTTAGTGAGCCAACATCGGATTAATCACCCCCACCTATAGGTCCGGGTATACCTTGCAAGGTCTTTCCTGAATCCTCCCTAAATAAACGGCCCCTGACATAGGGGTTGATTAATAAGGGGCAAACCCTGATTATTATTAATGGGGGACATGGGCTCATGGGGGGTACCCTTTGGGAGCTATCCAAACTGATGATTTTTATAAAGAATTTAATTAGAAATCGATCATTTGGGGAATAGTAGTTTTTTTCAGATTTTCAATGATCAGCAGTGATGGGTTCTGGTGTTCATGTGGTTTCAACTTAAATATAGCATACGGAAACGATAAGGACACCATTTGAAATTTTTGGATTAAAAAAAAAGATTTCAGCACTGGTGGTTGATTAATCATGTCCCAGCCAAACGGTTTATTAATCCTGGGGGACCACATGTTTTTAAATTTCCTTTTTTTTTGGGGGGGGGCAGAGGTTTAATTGACATTACTACTAGTTTGGGCAGAGTTTTTAATCAACCTCCTCTGCCCATTAGGATTAATAAACCCCATTGTTTAAATTACCAGTTTTTGATTAATACCGCGGGGTTTGTTAATCCTAACTTGACATTACTCGCTGCTCAGAGACTGGCCGAGTGCCCAAGAAATTGCCCTTTTCTCAGCTGGCCGCGTGGTTGAGTGAACCCCAGAC